GTAGTGGAGGGTTGTGGGCCCGCGGCCGTAGCGTCGAGTCTCGCCACTCGCGGAGCCAGTCAGGCTGATTGAATTAGGGACGAGCGGGGGCGGGAGGGTCAGGCGGCGCCCTTTGTGCTCCAGCTGCCTCTCATTAACACGTGACGCGTCGTGACCACATGGACCGCTTACAACATGATTCATCTTCAGCAGCATACCTTTTCTATGCGTAATTAATGAGTGTTAAAATCTTTACTCTACTATACTTTCCAATCAAACTATGTTCAGTCATCAAGGCCAAGATCAAATCATTACACAGTATAAAACTAAGTCGCTGTCGCTGTCTATCCGTCCCTATGTATGCTTAAATCTTTACCACTACGCAATGAATTTTGAAGAGGTTTTTTTTAATAGATAGAGACATTCAAGATTTATACTTAATAAATCAAATTCCATTAAAGTAACAATCTATAAGTAATTGCAATTTCAGTGAATTTAATTGAGTGAACATTTCGACCATAAAGGTATGAAGTTCAAACCACAACAGTGAATGTTCTTATTTATTAATAACTAGCTGTACCCGCGACTCCGTCCGCGTGGAATATAACTTTTCTAAAATAAAAGTAGCCTAAGTTACTCCTTATTACATCAGCTACCTGTTAAATTGGTGTATATATCGTACTTATATTCATATGCATGTAGTAAAAACAGTTTTTTCTATATTACATACAGACACTGTAATTTTATTTATATGTATAAAGTATAGATGTATTGATAATGATGCGACGGTGTTTCCGGCCGTGCTAATGATACACGCTAGCGGGGCTCCAGTGAACGAGTCAACGATAGCAAGACATCAGATTAGTTAGTCCACCGTTGTAATTTCACCGAGAGGTTTCCCAGAGCGACCGAGTAGAGGTAGGCCCCACACGATAAATGGCGAGCAATGAGGTCAATATGAGAATCTAATTGGGATCTCATTTAGAACAAAGATCACAGCATCAAGCAAAGTGAAAACCTCTGGGTGACCGAGGTTACAAATGATACTGTAATGCTACTACCTACTTATATGTAGATATTTATTTTTTATCTCAAAATAAACACATATATTTTGTCAATTTACAGCCAGATATGATTTTGAACCGTGAACAATGTGCCGTGCACTCTGATGTTTTGTATTGTGCAAGTTGTATTTACACCAAATATTTGCGAGCAAACACTTTAGCAGTTAAATAAATCAATATCGCAGGTGAATGGGTGTGATACGTTATCAGCTACGTATCTGATACTATCTCGGACTCGTGGAATTTATCGAGTGGCCGTTATCAGCCGCCCGCCGCCTGCCGCCTGCCGCCACCTACCAAACCTGCTCTAATCACAATTCTATTCAGCTTGTAATTATATACTTGACACATGGGTAACAGCTACATCACTAAGTATTGGATGCGAATTATGTAATAAACATAGTGCCCAATCACAAGCGATATAGTTCTTCTGTGCAGGCAATAGCGTGATACAAGTAAGCTGCTTCACAATCTACGATAATGTGGGGCGAGCGCCCGCGACGCCATCCAGCAAAATTCTACCTACCTTCTTTGTTTACCTGTTTGATTTAATATCTCATTTAAAATCTTAAATTCCGCATTAACAGTCGATAATAATGACAAAGTATGAAATGTTTCACTGTTTTATGTAATTGGATGGTAAACAAGTTGACATGAACAGCACCGCACCACGTGTGACTCATATGATATGCCTCCATATCCTGTATTTTCACTTCTTTATCTCCACTCTTCTATGCCGTTAGCCTGTTAATTACGAAATCCCGCGGTGGTCTAGCACATCGCCTTACTTCCGATGTTCGCGGGTTCGATTCCTCGCACGATAGAAACGTTTGTATTAATGATTGGTATGATTGTTTGTATCAGTTTAGATGTTGTATCATTTGCTTTCGTGGTGTTGGCGCAAAATCTTAGGTATATCATGGACGGAGCGCCGCACTAATGCATTTTGGAACAATTGGGTATCAGAACCCGTCTCTCTACTGCATGCTTCCAGCGTCTGCTAACTTTTTTCGGCCACGTGGCCCGTCGGAAACCAGATTATTTGGAAAAATGTATAATGGTAGTCCACGTGGACGGAAGAAGGGGCAGAGGTAGAGCACCTGCACGATGGACTGATCCTGTACGAGAGACCGTCAAACGAAATATACAGTCGGCGATCCACTTAGCACAAGATGGTAGTCATGACCCTCAGTCTTAAAGAATCGATAAAGAAGAAGAGATGTTTTCGATGTGTATTAAGAATGTATTTAATAAAAAAATGTATCAGTAGTCTACTAGCCTACTACTATAACACAAGCTCTGCTTAGCTTGGGACTACATAGCGTTGTTTGAGTTGTCATTTGATATTATTATTATAATACAGACCTATAACTATAACTAATAACATACTATATTTTATATTAAATTTTAACATTATATACAAGGAAAATAATGAAATAAACAGTATTAAATATAAAGATGACGAGTTACAGATGACAATTGTCATTAAAAGGGGTAAATATCTATATAGGTATAGTTTGCTTTACCTACTTGATGGAAAAAGGTAATGATGTGATATAATTAATATATTATATACAATACCATACTTCAACCGAACCACAACTCAAATAGACTGAGGTACCTACGCAGACAACTTGCAACAAGGAAAAACCAATACGAAATTCCTCGAAGAAGATCAATATGTAATATAAGTAGCTACTCGCCGCAGCTACGCCTGGTTGTACATGTATTCTACATATAAACCGTCCTCTGGAATCAGTCTACCTATTAGAAAAAAACCGCTTCAAAATCCGTTGCGTAGTTTTAAAGATTTAAGCATACATAGGGACGAACAGACAGCGACAGCGACTTTGTTTTATACTATGTAATGATATAACTAAATCCTGACGACTTCCCATCATAAGCAAGGACGTGATAAAAATATTTTTTAAATATTAATTTAGATCATCAATATCTACTAAGTACATAAATAAGTATTACAAATCGATCTTATTAGAAGTTTTTTTTTATTTGTGGTGTATGCACGGCGGCGGCCGGTGCAAATGCACAAATCACTTCCTGAGGATTACATCCATTTTACTTTTATGTTTTGAAACAAAACAAAATCGGTTCGCAACTAGCAATACGGATAAGAAACATAAAAACTCAATAGATTTAAGACCTTTCCTTCTTTTAATAACATATTATTCTGACTTAATGTAATATTTAAAATAAACTACAAATTCAATATATCTTTATTCATGTAGGTCTATTCCAGCCTCTTATGATACGTCAAATCTACCGTCAGTTCGGAATGATTTCGAGATGAGAAGAACTGACAAGTACCTCTTTTCAAATAAATGTTGTGCATGTTTACAATAATACAGATTATTTTTAAAATCAAATTTGAGAGAATAGAGTACAGGTTGCCATAGTTTGTTTGTTTACCAGCACAGTGCTCCAGTAAGTGGATGATAATGCATATATAATGAGAACAGATAATCAGTTACTACAAGATCACACCTCTAAGACATCTGACCGGTGAAAAGAATTTGGCGAACTTGGTATTTGTGATATATGTACGTATATTATACTGTACTGTTTGTTCGTTTATTCTAATTAGAATCTACTTTGATTGAATGGTATTAGTTAGTAGTTACTTTCTTTGTGGTGATGGTATTGTGATCACGCAATCACCCGCCGAGAACGATGGACAGGATGCCAACCGCACCACGATGTATAGGATACATATTTTTGTGATATTTCTCTCTCCGTACGAGATTTTTGTCCTCGATACGAAATGAGAGGACAATGTCAGCAAGATAGCCTAACTTTCGCATATCTAGATACATTGATATAGATAAGTGAAAAAACTAAAGATTCTTTTAAATGGATGATAATGGAATGGTGCTCTCGCCAGCTTCGGCGGTATACGGCAGGTTCACAGTGGACGACGATAAGATGAGAATGATTTAAGACCAGTTAGACAATCGTGATGAAATCACTAGGATTTAACGACGACGGAACCGCGTGGAGGACGATCTGACATAGTATATCGCTAGCAAGATCATTAGACCCCACTGCTAAGAATCCGCTTTTCCTATAAACTAGAGATTCCTTCCACAAGCTATAGCCACTTGTAGTAGGTACTATTCGCGTTGCAATGATTCAAAGTAGTTTCCAAAGTGTGAGTAGGATAAGAGGCCAGACAGAGGCCTTTGTTCAGCAGGAGAAGTCTTCCGGGCTGTAACGATGATGAGTAAATAATGTTGTACATATATAGTTGCATGTGGTGGACTAGGGATGTTTGAGCGACGCTACATGCAGAGTGGAGCGGCGCGGGCGGGCGAAACTACAATACAATTCATGTAATTCGCAGTTTACCTACCTACATGCAAGTGACAGTGGCGCAACCAGTTCAGTTCTCGACTGCAATATAACTTGCACCTTGCACGCTACACTACACCACTACGACAGTAGGTATTGCAGGTATTGCAATACAATATTTCGTTCCCAGATACCTGAAGACGAAACCTATGCGTAAAAATATCTAATATTAATTTCAGTCTGTTGTATTATACAGGTATTGGATTTTAATACACCATCACAAATACATACCTACTTATTTAAGGAGTTACAATACAAGTTTATGAAAATATACGCGTAACTATACTCAAATTAAATCAGATATGAATGGACGTAGTTGCCATACATGCGTACAGGACCACAGTACCACAGTACCACAGGACCACGGGTATGAACTGCACCATAGACATGTGCACGTACCTAACTGTACTCCTATACAGTGACGACCGTACACATACCTACCAGTGTTTACTTACAAGAGTAGACCGCTTGAGAATCTGTTGTTGCATCAAGTTTGATTTGTGTATCGCGTTTCAGTGGAATAATATAATGTTTAAATTTTAAATAACTATATAATTTGATACATAGGTAATGTGTCAGCAGAGTACATACCACTGCGACGAGTGTCCCCCGCACCGTGATGCCGACCATGGGCGCGAACCGCACCTCGACGCCCGCCTCGAGGACCAGCTGCGCGTCCCTCTCCACCAGCAGGTCGTCGCGCAGCAGGTACGGGCTGCCGTCCAGCTTCCACAGCGTGCGGCCGCCGGCGATCACCCCGCCGGCCTGCTCCGTCCACCCCGTGCTCGTGTTCAACACGTACGGGTCCGTGCTCCCCACACCCACCCCGTACTCCTGACCTCCGCATCCACACACCAACGACAACACTATAACGACGGTCGTCCTCCATTTATATTTTGTATCACTGAACTGGCTATGCTTCTTTTGCAACTCCATGTCCTTACAACACTTCATTTTCACTAACTAATCTCAAAAATCATTTCACGTTTGTTACCTAGCGTTCCTCACCTGTCCGCGACTTGTTTTTCGACACTAATCCAAACATTGATTACATTTCTCTTATTATCTCACGCATGCCGATTCGAATCATTTAACGTTGTTTAGTCATAAAAATTAAAATATGAACAAACAATTCGATAACGAAACAAAGGTGGGGCATATAAACAAGTCTGTATAGGTAATACGCGATACCGTGCGAGCGACCGTTGAACAAAGTAGTTTGGCCGGTTTCGTTCAGTCAGTGGAGTTTCAATGCCCTCCTCCCTACCCGCCGTTACCTCAACAAATCCTCAAATCAAAAGCCTCCTCCCTTCCTCTTTCCTAGAGGTTCCGGTGCGCACACAAGCAACTGTCTGATTGGTGGTTTACAGCACACAAAGTTAACGTAGTGTTCATTCGTTCGATCTCATTCATTGAAAGTCATTGTCATTATTGACAATTTATAATTTACAAATTATAATTAAATAATTTCTTTACAATGCTATCACAATATCATTCGAAGATTTCACTATGATCATCATTATATTATTTTGTTATTGTCATAAATTATACAATATTTAATATTTTTCCAACAGGCAATATTTTTTAGATATAGTAACATTCCGATGCAACCATTCAGTTTTCGTTCATTCAATCAATCCTTCATTCCCCCCAGGGGTGTTTGTCTTTCATACAGATGTTTTTGACAATGAACAATTGCTTATGTGTGAGTTGCGGAATATTAACTATTGCTATAATAAAAAAAAGAAATAATTTCATGGGTAATGTACGTATAATATACTTAAACTAATTAAATTAACATTTAAATAATAATGTGACTAAACTATAATAATTTATTTATATAATCATTATTTAAACCATTTATCATGATTGTAGATCGGTTGAACAAAATTACATCTAATATGACAAAACAGTGTGCTGTTTTCTCTTGAGTTCTTGCAATAATATCAACAACATTCAATGAATGAATGTTAACAGAGTATAACATTGAACGACAGTTTATAAAAAAAAATATTCATGGGTTCTTGCTTTTTAGAACCCATTTCAGATTCGATGGTATACTGCTTTATAGAACTAGGTGTTATTTTGCTGAAGTCCGTTGTTACTTTATGGATTTATATAATTCAGATTTGTATGGTAGCGGAATTCCACAAAATAATGTAATTTCATTAAATAACTTATGAGAGAAAAATATAATATGAAGATAGGAAGTAGCTCTCAGCGAACCAGTTTTTTATATAATAAATTATTTCCATTTACCCACGCGTATCATTACGTTGTGGTTTCGCTTTCGTAATAAGTTGTTTATTTTAGTAGATTATTGAAGTTATTTTCAAAAATACTTGTCGAAATGGAATAATTAATAATCAAAAATAACTTTTTTCAATTTACTATATTTTAAATTTTAATTTATTAGAAAAAAAAGAAAATACTGCATACTTTTGCATATATTTTGCAATGATTACACGCTAAATGCTTTATTAGCAAAGAAACTTATATTACCTACTGAAATGTTGTTTACTTACTTTTACTACTGAAATCACTACGTTATGTTAGGCGCGATTTTTGTAATAAACAAAAATAGCATGTTCATAACGTAGTGATTATTTGCTTCGATGGAAGTGTCAAAGTCAAAGTTGTAATATTAATTTAAAAAAACACATTTTAGAAAGTTCGTTACATTTCGAAAGTTTTTCTTGTTTCTTGTGTTGAATAAATTAGCTCTTGTGTTTATGTTTTGAATATTATAGCAGTTGTTTGTATGCTAGAATTGATTCGCTGCAACGACTTGTATTTATTCATATTGTGGATATTGGGTATAATCAACTATGTCTACGGATGCATATAGAAAGTGTGCTAAATGTGGAATAACTGCTATTCAGGATGGGGCACTATCATTCCACCGGTTTCCTAAACCTGGAAAAACAAATGTCGGACGGTATGGTGACTTTCACATCTTATTATCGTATTAATATTATAAACATGAAAATTTGTTTGTGTGGATGGATAGATGGATGGATGGATGTTTGTTACTTTTTCACGCAAAAACTACTGAACGGATTTTGATAAAACTTTACAATAATATACCTATGTATCAGAACATGCGGGTGAAACCACGGGTACAGGTAGTATTTTCAATAATATTATAGTATAATGTAATTATACTATAATATTATTCCAAATGATAGTAAACTTTTATTATACATACATACATTTGATTTTTCCACCTCACAGTCGAATTGGATATGATTTACCGGGTATGTTATACCATTGTAATATCTATATAGTAATAATTTAATCAACCGTTTTTGTGCCATGTCCACATTTGCATTTCTAAAATTCTTAAGCCGCCCTCCCCCCCACACCTCCCCTTATGTAACATACATAAAATTTTAATAAAAAGAAATTGAATTGTTCACATAGAAACCTAAATGACATGTTTTAGGGAGAAATGACTAAGTTTGCTAATGAAACACATTAGTATATTTTCAAAAGATATATTAACAAACTGAAATTAAAATTCCTAATAATTATCATAAAGATTTTTCTATATTAGTTTATTATTTTAATTTAGTGATAAAACTGTTAATGGCCAGAACCAAAATTTATAGTTATCATAAAAGCAGTAACAATAAAAAATCTAATACCATTGAATATTTTGGTTATTCTATTAAATGATTAAATTTGTTCAAATAAATTAACTAACATATGTAAACTTGATAGAAAAAGTAAACATATAATTGTAAATAAAAATATTTATATTATTATTACTGTTTTACAGGGCAAGAGCTTGGGCTAACTTTTGTTGGCCAGACCAAGACTGGACGTCACTGGATGATTTATCCAAACTTTTTAAAAGCAATAAAGTGTTATGTAAAAGACACTTCAAGGATTTTTGTTTTACCGACACTACAAAAAGCAATTAGGAAGGTATTCAGTGCCTACTGAAGATAATGTTGCAGTAGATAGCTCTCATCAAGTTGCACTAAATATTGAAACTGTAGCACAAGTAACTTGCGAAATAAGTCCACAACCAGGACCATCCTGTGTAACTAATCTATCAAAATCTAAAACCAAAAAAATATCCACAGGAATTTTAAAAAATATAAATGTTAAGAAGTTTGTTGAATTAAGTGCTAGAGAGAAAAAACTGTATAAAATTTGCAGTCAGAGTTTTAAGGAGATAAGTAGATTACGCAAAAGTTTAAAATCTAAAAAGAAAGCTGCCAAATTAGAAAAAATATGTGAGAATGAAAATGTTCAAAAATTGACTGATTTGAAGTTGAGTAATACATTTATAGTATTGTTGCAAAACCAGTTGCAAAATTGTAAAAGACAGTTAAAAGGTCGACGATATAATGTTGATCAAAAAATTATGGCTTTAACATTGTACAAAAAGTCACCTGCATGCTACAGACTTTTACGAAGAATGTTTGCGTTACCCTGTCAGTGTACATTAAAAAAGATGCTGAATAAAATACCATTAAAAACAGGCATTAACAAACAAGTATTCGAAAGTTTGAAGAGAATGGCTGAAGGCCAATTGGAGGATGAGAATCTTTGTATTCTAGTATTTGATGAAATGACGATAAAAAAACATCTGTATTATAATGAGAAGACAGATATTATTGAAGGATTCCAAGATCATGGTAGTCATAACAGAACAAATCAAATAGCTTGTAATGCCTTAATGTTCATGTTGACAGGTTTAAGAAAAAAATGGAAGCAACCAGTATCATTTTATTTTTCTGGGAAGTCTGTAACCTCAGACAGATTATCAGTCATAATTAAAGAAGTATGTTTTTTTTTAATATTACATACAATATTCTTTTAATCAATTTCTTATATTATGTATAGTAAATATTATTGTATTTTTAATATATTATTACTTTTCAGATATTACATGAATGTTGGAAGACAGGTTTAGTTGTAGTGGCGACAGTATGCGACTTATCAAGAGTCAACATAAAGGCTCTTGATATCCTTGGTTCCACAAAAGAGAATCCTTATTTTGTGCATGATGGACATGAAGTTGTCACAATATTAGACCCGCCGCACCTCATCAAATGCACGAGAAATATGTTTTTAAAACATGATATTGAATGTTTAATAACAAACATAAATAATATTGATGGTCAAACTGCTAGAGGTATGTAAATAATATTAAATATAGTATAATAATAATGTAACAGAAGAGTCATTTAAACAATAACTAACTATTAAAGATATATAATTATATTATGTCTAGCATACATAAAAGTAGTTTACTATGTTGTAGTATTATCATTATCTGTAATACATGCATTAACCCTTCAAATACTATTTTGAGTTTCTGATTCATTATGAAAAGTGGTTAAGCAAAATAAAAGATAATTTAATAAAGTTATTTATGTATTCTAACTAGTATAATATTATTATTGTTGTGATGTTCTAACAAAACTTTATCACAACAGGTGTGGCGAAGTGGTCACATGTGCAAAAATTTTATGAACTGGATAAAAACAATCCTAATTTTGTTTTTGCACCTGCATTGACGGAACACCATTTGAACCCTAATAGTAAACAAAAAATGCGTGTCAAACTGGCTGTGCAAGTGTTCAGCCATAAAGTTACAGCTGGAATATTGCATAAAATTGCAACAAGTAAGTATTTTTTAATCTATTTTGATAGCCTGAAGTAGCTCTAGCTGTAACATAGCTCTTTACTTCCAATGGTTAGTGCTTGTTGGTAGTTTGTATTCACACGTTTCACATGGATACAAACATTTGTATACATGAACGAGTATAGATTGTTTGTATTCAAAAGTGCTCTGGAATAAATGATTTTTTTCTATTATTAATATTTACTGAGCAAAGCCTATTACTCACTAAACGATTACTTGAATGACGAGTGTGAATGGCAATAGTTGTTCACACACTGAATTTTCATTTAATGACGAATAGACATAGACACCTATATTAATATAAATTGTAAATAAACTGGCTTTTAAAAAACAAATAAGTAATTCAATTGAGTTTCTTATCAGTTCTTTTTCTTTGTAATAACTCTACATTTCATATCTTACACATCTTTGACAATATTTGTGTTGTCTTAGTTTTCACTGCAAAGGTTTCTTTTAAAGGTTTCCATTAGTATATTAACTGAAAATGTTGAATATAATTATTATATAATTTTTTCAGATGAACTCCCTTCAGAGGCGTCAGCTACAGCGGCATTATTAATTAATTTTGACCAACTGTTTGATGCCGTTAATGCCGATACTCCTGACTTACGTGGCGGCAAAAAATTTTCAACCAATATGACACCACGGTCATCTCACCTTCAATTATTTAGGAATATGAGAAAATTCATTTCGGAAATGAAGTTTATTGGTTCGAATTCACCCCCACCATCACAGGTTGGGTGGATTCGAACTATAAACGCGGTAGAAAGATTGTGGAAAAATTTACAGGACTTAGGAGTGAATACTCTTTCGACACGCCGTTTAAACCAAGATCCACTTGAAAATTGTTTCGGTTGCATCAGATACCACTGTGGATCTAACGATAACCCAAGTACTGGACAATTCATCGCGGGAGCAAAAACAGCTATTATAAATAATTTACGCCATTCTGGCTTAAAACGAAATTGCGAAGATGATGAATTCATTCTTAATGATAATTTAAAAATTTTTTTATTCCCTACTGATAAACAACCTGATAACATATCCACAGGTGAGAGTTCCACAGTGGATTTTGAACCATTAATTGCTGATGCAACCGAAGCAATTGAGCAGGCATCTGCTGAAGCGCAAGCATGTGCGTATGTCTGTGGATTAATTTTTAAAAAAAATAAACACAAATGTATATGCTGTAAACAAATATTTTTATCATCGGAATCCACGGACGATATTAATATTAATTTATTTACAGATTTTAGGGAATATAATGAAATGGACAGAAGTCTTACATATGTAAATATACAATTTGTGCAATGTATAGAGGTATGCGCTTCAGCAGTGAATAAAATATTAAATGAGGATGGTTGGAAAAAGGGATTAAAAAATAATGTAATATCTGCTCTTTCTCAAGTGGACTTTAATTTTTTATTAAAATGTCCAGAACATTATGATGAAAATAAAAAACATTTAATAATATCTACTTTTCGTATTTGTATTAAAAGGTATACTGTATTAAGAAACAGAGAATTTAATGAAGAGGAGAAATCAAAGAGTTTACAAAAAAAAATGCGTATATTAAAAAACAAGTAATTAATTGTAATTACAATTGTAAGCTTGATTGTAATACGAAGAACAGCTAGGAGTTAGGTTCAAAATTATGGTAATTTCTCTCGCTGTTATTAATTAGGTATCATTCCATTACTTCCTTATCCATAAAACCCCATGTTGATAAAATATAATACTTTCTACAAATCTATTTTAACTACATGCTTATTTTTATGAATATGGAGGTAAAACGCTGTCTTATAAACCTGTTTTAGCTATTGTACTCTGTGGTACTCGGTTGTTCTTTTCTTACTATTTTGTATAATAGAAAGTGGTAAAAACATAACTAACTTGCTAAGAAACTAGCTGCAATCCCTTATGCAGGGTATATGTAGAATAAAATGTACACATTACATTAACCGTCTTGAAACATCCAAAATTTTGTCCAAATGTTTTGTTTCAATTCATATAAAATACATACAACATTCAGTTTTGTATAAATTGTCGCCTTTAACAAATAGCTATTGTCGTTGCTACTTGGATACAATAAACATAGTTAATAAAGTCCTGTTTATTCTTAGATTATTTTTATTGTATACCGCTACATGAAAAAACTGTAATATATCTAACACAACGCTCTGAAAGAAGAAAATACAAATAAATTTACAGCGCCATACCTATAAATAGAAATATGTAGTTCATATTAGGGCTATTTACATAACGCTGTTAAAATATTTAACTGTTTAATATGTATGAAACACTGATAACTGTAGTTCCGAAATTTAGTTTGTATCTGCCACTGTCATATATATATATATATATACAGACAGAACCGGGAATGACCTGATTAATGTATTACAAGAAAATCGCAATTTATTGTTTAGAAGTTATCAAATGTTATGTTGCAAATAAGCAAACAAAACCAATTTTTTATTATTAAAGTATACCAGAATGTCATGGATATTCCCAGTTCCTTTCGTTTCGCCCGTAGATAAATAATTAGCCACCATTAATATAGATATTAGTACAAAACGAAAGAAAACAAAAACTGTAATATTCCCTGTTCATTGCCTTATACCCTTCACATGGTTCATACATAATGCAAACTATGAACGTTATTCCTAATAAAACACCATTGTAACAGTAAATAATAATAATGATTTTAGTAGTCCTAAATTATAATTACTATGTAGTTTTAACACAGTGTTATCACTGTTTTCTGACAACCTAATAGATTCAGTATATTATGTGTACATACAGTATACATAAAGTACATAAATACAATTCCTAAATAAATTAATTTAGAAATTGATATATAAAAGTTTGTTCGTATTTGTATTTTTTTGTGATTGTATGTATTCAGTATGTGTAAAAAAAGTAGTTTCTTTTATTTTTAGGGTCAAGATATTGTATTCTATCTAAGCGTAACACGCCACTCAAATGAACGGGCAAATGGAATGAAACTAATAAAAGAAAATCAATATCTTTGTTCTTATTTTATCTCCAAGAATACATGAAATATACTTTTTATTTTAATGCTTTTAGACCTGCTTTCATAAGCGCCAGTTAATCTTATAAATTAAAATTATTAATTAAACATTTTTAATTTGTAAAGTTAACTAATGTTTATGACGGCTTCTCTGCCATTTTATCCATCAGGGTATGGTAGTTCTTATGAAGCTTGTAGACGGCCAACAGCTTGATCAAGCACGTGTTATTTTTGCCATTCAAGGCTACATTTGCCTGATTTTTTTTGTTCCTAAAGGCAAAATATCCGTGTTTGATGAAGCTCTTGACCGTCTAAAGACTTGAGTAATAAAATTATAAACCCAAACGGCCTTATTACAAAAAGATAAACCTGGTTTAGCACTAGTAATAAACCATTCACCAATGTATTCCTTATTACAAAATGAAGTTTATCTCTAAATCGTGATTCGTCTATGGTCTAAAGTTAGACCTGCGATGCCCCTAGTTTAACAGTGGTCTAAATGCAAAAATACAAACTCCATTTTAAAAATTCTATTGTAAGTTGTAGTTTTTGGAAAAATATTTTAACTAAATTAAAAATATATTAACTAAAAATATTTAAAGCAAATTTTACGACAATAAAAATATATAAAAGACGTTATTTGTTATTTTTTCACTCATTTGACTTTGAAATAGTCACCATTCGAACGAGAGAAAAATATCTCGCCGTTCCTTTCCTCCGTATAGGACTCCTACTTGTAATTTAAAACTGATTTTCAGCCTAATATATATATATTATATATTAATGAAATAGTTATAATAAAGACATAGATAAATAGAAATAAATTTATTTTTAGTTTATATATTTTTCTTTGAACTAATATTATTTTTGATCTTTTCAGTTTTCTGGTAAAATGGAACGTAATTGTACGGTGACAGACATGAGTGACTGATTTCTGTATGGAATACATAATGAACGATTTAACTGTAGTACTAAGTAGTCCTCTGTTAGATCTGGATTCGTAATTATGTTAGGTTTATTCCAAGTATTAACTTTAGGAATGGTTTAAACCACGACCATTTAGACCACGTTTCGTCCGAGTTTTAACAGATTTTTTGTAATAAGACCGAAAATATTTGAATTTCCCTCCACTATTAGTGCTAAAATATTCCGTGCGGAATTTGTAGCGCTAGTGGTATTGGAGTATTTCCCATTTTTTTTGTACTAGGTTACCCTTCTTCTCTTTAGAGTATTATGTTCCTTGATTCCCCCTTAATTCATCGATTGCTTTACTTACCGTGTATAAATTTAATTTAAAATTAATCTACAAACATAATATTAATTTTTAATAGTTATTTTGGTGTATAATTATAGAAATATCTCAATACTTTTCAAATGTAAGTATGTTATTAAGCTTAGGGCAGAAATAATACATATTCTATGTTGGCGTGGCATTTAGACGACATCTTGTTTTAATCGTTGTGAATAATTTATTTATTTAGCGCCCTTATTCACTGCATAAGTTGAATTAATAAATAGTGATAAATGTGACCTGTTTAAATATTGACGTGTGTGTTGCGAGTTGATGTTTAACGTTCATGCCGGGCACCACATTGTTTATAAAGTGCGCTTCATTGTTTATTGAACAAGCATTTTTATATTTCAGAAAATACCATTATGAGCTCAGGTGGAACACGTGTGTATGTCGGCGGTCTCGTAGAGGGTATCAAAAAAGAAGATCTCGAGAGGGAATTCGATAAATATGGCAAACTGAACTCTGTTTGGGTAGCACTAAATCCCCCTGGTTTTGCGTTCATAGAATTTGAAAACGTGCAGGAGGCAGAGGATGCGTGTAGCGCGATGAATGGATTTGAAATGTTAGGCGCGACGTTAAAAGTAGAGCTATCAAAGAAAAGAGATGGACCACGTAGGAACGGAGGTAACTTTAGGGGTGGCCGCGGCGGTAACTTCCGAGGCGGACGGTCCTTCGGGGGACCGCCCGGCGGTAACAACAGATCATTCGGGAACTCGTACGGTGGCGGGAGGTCGTTCAACCGCAACGGACAGGGTAACGGTTACGGGTCAGGCAGCGGCGGCGGCGGCAACTTCAGATCTAGGTCGCCCTTAAATCGCTTCTAATTTAGTTATAGATGTTAAGTTAGGTATTAGTGTTATCGTAATCTGAAGCCTTCCAAGTGTTAAAATTCAATGTTTGCTAATACTAGGGGGTTTTATATTGGGAAGAGTTCATTGTTGTCACAAGGATGTGAAGGTACCTACGTTACATTTAAATTGTGAGTAGATTACTTGTGCATTTATTTTATTCTTAACTCGGCATACAGACATTAAAATTTACTAATTTCCTTAAAGGATCTAAAAATGTTAATGAACTTGAACGCTTGTATTACACTGGCAGCCGGAAAGTGATCAGTCGAGTCTAAATACAATGTCTAGATAATGAGGAGTACATTAAAAACACAAGGAATCTATTATTTGAGAGAAACATATTCTAGATTAATGATGGAATAATATGGCAATGAAATTACCTGTTAAAGTGGTTGTAGTTGGTGTTAACAGTTCTTGACTCTGCTCATGTATGTCCATGTGTGCCCACTTGTCACGTGGAAAGCACACAACACCAGTGTGTTTGCATAATTTAAAGGAAAATAGTGAGCAAGCAGTGTAGAATGCATCATGAGTTGTTATGATTTATTGTGGAAGTACCAAATGAAGTGTTCAGTTTTTAAGATATTTTTGTGTCAGACATTTTGCCATAGGATAGATAGAATCTTTGTAGCCTTTCAGTTTGTACTAATTTGGCATTAATTTAAATTAATCGTGTATGTAGTGTTTTTTTCACAGAAAGAGGTGTGTTTTCTAAATTATTGTGACAGTTCCTGTGGTCAATTTCTTTAACATACTGCCTTACTTAAGATGCTGGCGTATGGTGCTGTGTGAATTGTCCTGAAAAAAAATATGATTCTATCTATGACTAGATTGGTTTAATACAACTGAGTGAATCACCTGTGACATGAAAGTTTTGGACGAGAGAATAATTACAACTGATGAATGACAGTATACAAATTATTTACTTTATAATTTTTCAAAACATGTAATATAAGCAGTTTTGCATAGTATTTTTTTACTGTATTACCACCACATTTTCATCATGTAATTTAAGTTCATCTGGTTCCTGCTCACTTGTTTTGTGTAGGTGTTGAAGTGTGACAGATATCTCGCAGTCATTAGTCCTGCAGCGAGGCTGTGTTTGCGTCTGATGTGGTTTAGTGGAGGCTGACATTATACTTTTCCAGAATGATCACTCCATTGTCATCATGCTTAGGTGTTTTTGTGAATGTGAGAGGTGAGAGGTAGGATCGGTGCGGTGAGCAAACAGGTACACATGCAATTGTACTGCATTTACTGCTGAATATGGTGGATTTAAAACCATGGCATATTGTCCGAATCCTAATCATATTTAAACAGTTAGATCAATGACTGCACATATCATATTAACTATGTTTAAAAATTACTTATGCACTGAGACAAAATAGATTAGGAAATAAAAGTAAGAGAAAAAGTTTATAGTTGGAAGTATGCAAGATTGTTACTAGGTAAGTTTGCAGTTATTGTTTAAATGTGAGCTTCTTTCAAGTAATGGGTGCTGTTATTGGAGTAAGGGTCCATTCTGAACACTAGACCGGACTTTTAGGAAATGTGTATGTCTGTCATTGTGATGTATTATTTTCTCCAGATCAATGTTTTGTAATATATATGATGTTTTATTTGTGATTATAGGCGACCATCATCATTTACTCTAGTTGGAATTGTCTGTTGGCTTGTTTCCAGTTTTTCATTGTAAATTTGACTATATTGTAATATCAGCTCTAATTATTCATTACACGGAACAGTCAACACAAGGCTTAAGCTCTATTCATTTCTTGGTGATTGGCAATCTTGGTCAGAGGCAAAACACTTATCGCCATATCGGTTGAGTTAAAATAAAACTATTAATGCAATGGACTGCAACAAAATAATACCTAATTCGTTAAAATGTATGTGATTGTGCCTATTGCAGTAGGTACAAACCAACAGCTCGGGACCCAACATGTGTGCTGCTTGTAGTGTCCCGATTTTATTGTTTTAAATATTGTTTCAGTACCTTGGATTAAACAATCGTCTCGAGACATCTCATTCGTCAAGAGAAACTCAAGAACAATCTTCAGTGATCATTTAACATATTACCTATGGCCCTACTCTAAGTTACGTATAAATAAAAGATGTCTCTATAAATACTTAGTGTTTTATTGCATACATACAAAAGGGCAGTACATTACTAAATTAAAGATAATAATTAGTCTAAGAGGGACTACTCAGGCAGGCCATTAGGAGTTCCATCTTGTTCAGGAAGTTTTTCCCTTCCATCTTTTCCAGCTTGATCTCTTTAAATGCTCCGCCGAGATTCTCCCATTTTTTATCTTGCACTAGTTCACTCGCGAAGAAATCTTTTCTTGGTGATTGTGCAATAAACACTTGGATGCCAACTGACGGTTCACACCTTATTGCTATCATTCTGTCACCTGCCATAAAAATAATACACACGTTAGTTACACATAGGTCTCTAGCGGGCAGCGAGATGTTCAGGAAAGTTCAGCATCTCTTCTCTCAAGAGTTGTCAAAAGTTTAAGCTAAGGTTGGGAACGTACAACACATTACCAACCATGTTGTATGTACATTCCCATTACGAGACCAACAATATATCTATTTATCCAAATTTTGAGGAGCGAACAAACCGACGAAATCTTAATGACGTACATATGCACATTTTACCTACACGAGTACAAAAAATATATAATTTAGTGTCTGGGTATGGTTAATCGGAACATTTACCATTGGGTGAAGCAAGAAGACACGAGGAAGCATTCCCTAAGGGCTCCACCGGCCCCGAGCCCAGGTGCGAGCTGCTGGCCAACAACTGCCACCCCATGCACCGACCCACCGCCTGCACGGCTGTCATTTGATGCTGGTATATCTATGGGTAAAAGGTATCATTATGCTATAATATCAAATGTAGTGAAACATCATTTAGGAGATGTGTAATGTGTAATTATGTTGATGATTTTATAATACTACAACTATAGTGATGTCTTAGGATGTGTAATTTGGGAATAGACAAATGTGATATTTTATCGGATGCGCTCTGTACTTAGTGTTATATTATCGTGTGGATATGATATATATTTGGTTAAATATATAGATATTACAAGTTCATTAGATAAGTGTTATAGAGAAAAAAATAGAAATTTATAGATTCGCTCATAAAATAAAAATATTGACACAAAAAGGCTAATATATAATTTATGTAATATATTAAAACTTTAAGACGAGGCAATGTGAACCAAATCTGGGCATACTAACAAGATCACCATCAGACACGAGCAGTGACTTGTGCCTCAAATCGAAGACCCTAATGAGCACATGGCGTGTAGATCCTGAATGCATTACAATAGCCCATCACATAAGCGTATTGTACAATGCAAGTGGATGCTAGAAATATGATTTGCTTTTTATAAATATCTTTGTTGCGAATCATAGGGTATTTTTCAATTGGTCCTAGACTCATAGGTCTCGACATGTGTTTATAGTCGTCGTTGGGCGGGGGGTAGTGAGCGTGTGGTGAGTGGTGCGTCACCTGGCAGTAGATGAGGTCCCGCAGCTCCTGCAGCTCGTATGAGAGGTGTCGCACCTTGCCGTCGCGGCAGATGCACTTGAGAGTCTTCTCGCCCACGTGCACCACCAGCGACGTGCGGCACACCGCGTCGTACCTGACACACCACACACACTCTCATGTACGCCTACTACTTGCGACCACTTGTAAATACTGTACATGTAGGTAGGTAGGTACACACTACACCAAATGAATGTTCTGATTATTTAATTGAAAATAAAATCAAAATCATTATAGCCGCTTATGAACGTCAAGTTTTGTGAAATGTTTTTAAAGGCGAAATTATTGAATATCTATGATTAACCATTTTTAGGTGAGTTTATTGTGACGAAACAATCTACTAAACATGACACACCCAATGACAATTTGCGATACTTATCTACAATAAATAAAAATAAAATAAAATATATGTAAGTATTTAAACTACTTGCATATATTTTATTTTATTTTTATTTATCAACAAGAGAGAGAACAAGGTTGTAAAGGTAAATTATATGTTGCAGTAATATATATATATTCTAAAGTACAAACAAAATACATCTAAATATATTTTCCGTACCGTCCAAGTCAGTATACAGATTCAATTTAGAAGAACTGGCAAGAAACTCAGCCGAATTATACTTTATATGCTAATATGTATACTTTATAGGCGTCTATGTGTAACATTAAATGAAAATCCCGTAGATGAACAACTATTGCCGACAAGTTTGTGATTTAAGTAATCGTTCAGTGAGTAGACTATGGTTAATAAATATAATTTAACATATGCTTAAATTCTCTTTAAAGTTGTTACCACCTAACTCTAACCTCTGTTTTTTATTATTTTAGTCTGGTCCGTTGGAACTATTAATTTATATTTTATAGGAAGAATATAATAATTCAAAATTAGTAGAATATGAGGCTTACCCATAAGCCATTATGTTGATTTTGACACAGGACTGCGTGGGGCTATTGAGGGCGTTCCAGTGGGACACGATCAGCGGGTCCTTTACCTGTCGACACGAAAGTTACACGTCGTTGAGCAGAAACCACTCTGTATACTCGTACACATACATACGACGGCCTCGGTGGTCTAGCGGCTTAGCACACCGCCTTACTTCCGATGGTCGCGGGTTCGATTCCTCGCACGTGTGTGTGTGTGTGTGTGTGTGTTGTTGTCTAGCGGTCTGAGTGTTTGTCTATGTATGTGTGTGTGTGTGTGTGTATATATCGATGTATTTGTATCAGTTATCTAGTACCTATAACACAAGCTTTAGCTAACTTGTGTGTGGTGTGTGTGCGCTGTGTGTATTGCCCTGGCGGGGTGTGTGTGTGTGTGTGTGTGTCGATATTATGTATTTACATTGGTGTGTGTGTGTGTGTGTGTGTGTGTGTGTGATTACTATTGAGTTATAATTTTGCGGTTCGGAACCTTAAAAAGATGTTTATATAAAAGATACGAATAAAATATCTAAACAAATCTAACCTCCTTTGCAATAGTGTCGAGGACGTATTCGCTGCGTCTGTGTGTGTGTGTGTGTGTGTGTGTTTGCTCCAGTCTGTTCCTGCTCATTGTGTGTGTGTCGTATCTGTCGGCGTCTCGGACCTACAACAAAACAAGAATTTAAGAAACTCAATTTAGGTCGCTAAGATGTAGTTTGTGTGCATGCGTGTTTGTGTATGTGTGTGTGTGTGTGTGTCTGTCTGTCCTCACCTGCCACGCAGCGTCTCTTGTGTGTGTGTGTGTGTGTGTGTGTGTGTGTGTGTGGGTGTGTGTGTGTGTGTGTGTGTGTGTGTGTGTGTGTGTGTGTGTCTGTCCTCACCTGCCACGCAGCGTCTCTTGGAGGGTCCGAGGGGCCCGGTGGCGGGGGGTGTGTGTGTGTGTGTGTGTGTGTCTGTCTGTCCTCACCTGCCACGCAGCGTCTCTTGGAGGGTCCGAGGGGCCCGGTGGCGGGGTGTGTGTGTGTGTGTGTGTGTCTGTCTGTCCTCACCTGCCACGCAGCGTCTCTTGGAGGGTCCGAGGGGCCCGGTGGCGGGGTGTGTGTGTGTGTGTGTGTGTCTGTCTGTCCTCACCTGCCACGCAGCGTCTCTTGGAGGGTCCGAGGGGCCCGGTGGCGGGGTGCGGGAAGGGATGGTGCGTGTTGGCGTGGTGCACCGCCCGCAGCAGCTGGTGCAGCGAGTGCTCCAGCACGTGGTCGTGCTCGGACTTGCCGCCCGCCGCGCCGCCGCTCTCCGTCTGCAACACGCGTCAGCTCGGGTCAGCTCGGGTCAGGTCAGGTCAGGTCGGTCGGGTCACGTCCGGTCACGTTAGGACGAGTCAGGTCGGGTCACTCACCTTCACACTCTCCGGGTGAGTGTTCGAATTATTCTGTCCGTTATTGTGACACAGTCCTATCAGCAGTTGAATACCGGGCAACACCTGGAAAAGTAAAGACCATTGTCGATATCGAGCCAGGAACGTGTGTCTAGATATTTATACATATATTGCAAGCAAGTTAACATTTCTGCATTTGTAGTAGCTTCAGAACTGTCATGCTATTTAATATATTTTTTTATTATATTATTTTCTCAATAACGAATTCATCGTATTCATTGCTGGATTTGAACGATCAAAAATAATATGTGCAGTATTATGTAAGTGTGAAGTTCTGTAGATATCTAAGATAATAAATTAATATGAATGGTGCTGGTGTGAGTGAGAAGTGTATGGTGTGAGAGGTATGTCGAGTGCGACTAGCGTACCGTGGCCATGATCTGGTTGCCGACGACCATGTGCGGGATGGAGGCGTCGAGCTGCACGGCCTCCGCCGCCAGCCGCGCGAACAGCTCCTTACAGAAGAGCACGTTCTGCGCCGCCTCCAGCCGCTGCTGCCAGTGCAGCTCGCCCTCCGCCGACAGTGCGGCCCCGCCCGCCGCCGCGCCCGCGCCCGACACGTCCTCCTGCTCTGCAACACACGCCGCGCCCCGTGACTGCCGCGCCGCACTCGGTCACACGGTCACACGGTCACACACGGTCACACACTCACCCTTCTGGCAGAGCACGGAGATGAAGGCGACGCCCTGCAGGTCGGGCGGCACGGAGACGCGGAGCGCGGCGGGCTGGCCGGGCGCGGGCGGCGGCTCGTCGGCGGCCTTGGTCACCTCGAACACGCCCGTCTGGCCGAACTTGGAGCCGGCGGTGCGGTAGCTGAGGTCGCCCACGATGCCGGCCGAGCCCTTCTTGAGGCGCCAGTTCTGCCGCAGCCGCAGCAGGTCGATGTGGAAGTCGGGCGCGGCGCGCGTGCGCGGCGAGTCCCCGGCCCGCAGCCGCTCCGCGCCGCCCAGCAGCACGGCGGCGGCGGCGGCCAGCGCCTTCTTGCGCCCGTACACCGGCACCATCGCACGCGTCTCCGCCTGCTCCGGCTGCACCGGGTCCAGCACCTGCCCTCACACCCAGACTCTCACTTACCCATACTAAATAGTCTGAGAGACTATTCAAGCGAGATGTCAATAACTAATTATAGTTAATTAAATATTATATATGTATTGTTTGCAGATGAGAGTTCAGTTTTTTTTTAAGTAGCAAATGGAAGATGGATTTGGAGTAGTAGAGTATCAATATTTAAAGAGTATGATAAAGAATCATGGAAAATGACAAGAACTCTACCGACAAAATTGTCAAATTATATCAATTATGAATTAATAAAGTAACACATATCTTACCTCAGTTTACAACTAAATGAAAATGAAACATGTTGTTTTTTCTGTCTATAAAAGTTCCTGCCTAGTAAACATGTGTAGCGATAAGACTATAGATTTAATAATGTTTACTATATCATTACCAATGTAGAGAATTGTAATGCTTCCAGTAATAGTGTCCAGATTCCAAGTTTCCAAACTAAATATTTGTGGACTCACACATAGCAATGGTGGCTTAATTACACAAAATAATATAAATCTATTAAATAATGAAATAGAGCCACTCATTCCATAAAATATAATAATTTTTCAAGCATAATTTTCATTGAATGTGAGCCATAGACATCGAAATAAGTAAACAATGTTAGCAAATTGACTTTAATATAAAACAAAGTCAACAGAGTTTCTCGCGAGTTATTTTCAATTAAATGTGTAGATTGAACTAATAATACTCAGGAAAAATAATGTTCATACTAAATACTTGCCTTGCATAAGTAACTAAAATAAGTGAAATTTGAATTTATACATCAATCAGGGAGACTGTATGGACCAGTGGAATTCCAAAATATGTAGTAGTAATTTATACACACAGACTTACCATATATCTCTTCTCTTTAGCAATAGTGAGCACATCGGCCAGTACAGACACTTCAGTGAGAGCATTCCGTAGCTTGTTTCTCACAGACTCCCATGGCCACTGATTGGACTGGTAACCTGTGTCCTTACTATCATCGTCCGACTTAACATCTACACTGGTTTCACCTTCCTTTTTAATATTGCAGTATTCATCTTCAGATTTTGTAAAGTCAATCTTCTGTGCCAGTCTAGCCAGGTTCTCCGACATCGACAGCGGCCTGAAAGATGTCAACAATACATACACAACACGCATCCACCTATTGGTGTATGATGCTCACTTAATGATATTTACTTACAATAATGAGATACATATATATTTACCAATTTTGACTGACCTACAGATACCTCGTAATTATATTTTAATGTAACTTTAGATGACCTATGATCAACAATAAAGATATTTGTAACCCCAGTGTATGTTTAACACATGAACAATTAGAGCACTATCAACACTGTAACCATACATTTGTTAATCAGTATTAATCATAAATTAATAAATAAAATACTTACGCTTGGTAAATCTCTTGTCCATCGTAGGTTATTTCCTGAATTTGGTTCTCAATGGGAGCTTCAATTGAAATGTTTACGTTATTCGCCATCACGGAATGCTTAATTCTAGTCTAATGATTACTATATGTATAGTCACATAATTAATATATATTTTTTTATCAAATAGTATATAATAGACTGCAATAAATAAAACAAGTCAAAACAAATAAGAATATAGCACAGGCCACAGACTAAATTCAGAGAATATAAAGAAGTAAAATCGAACGTAGCTCTGTGCTCTATGATCTGGTTTTTTTTTTTTAGTATGGTTTACGGTTCTGAATACATATTAAGTTTACAAAGAACAGGGTTGCCAACCGGAAAGCACTGTGGCTTCAGAAGAAGGAATAAGACAAATAAAAAATATGAGGTATTGTTGTAGAAATGTGTAATTAAACTATTTATAGCTGGAAAAATGTTTTAATGGTAAGATGGTAGACAGTGCAGTAACATATTATATAATTTTGTTTCTATAGTTTTGATACAAAAATAAACTAAATCAATGATCTTGTGGATAAAGATATAATAGGTTCTGGGACAGCAGGTACATAGGATGAGTGGATTTATAGATGAATGACACTTTCTATTCGATCTACTAATTACATATATTCTATTATATAAAGAAATAAAATATTTTAGTAAATTCAGAAGGAAAAATTGAAACTCGGCTTGACACAATACCGCGTGTCTAGATATAATGTCATTTTTTACAATAATCTTAGGAACGAACTATAAAAATTGTATAATACATTACTTTTTAAATATAAAAAGTTAAACTAAAGAGGTTTCACAACAATTTCCTCCCGGAACATATAAATATATAACAAAATACAACATAACAAAAACAACAGTATCAAATTACAAAGTAGTAAGATATATGCATGGTTCTTTTTCATTAACCGTGTACTTAACTCCAACGGCTAGACCTTTTCTGACCAAATCGACAATAATTCTTTAGCCATTCTTCATGTGAAGTCATTTATACTGATGTTCCAGAATCGATTAGGTATCAATTTATCACAATTTCTGTTTTCCAAAAACGTTAATCCAATCTTCAATATCCTGTTCTATGTTGGATACATTTCTCTTCTTGTCCATTTTAAGTGGACATTCAGGACTATGTCCATACATTTAGAACATATAATAGGTTTCTACTTTTTTTTTTCTCTTTTAAATGCGAAATATGAAATGTAGCACCGTCGTTCTGAGCACCTTTTGACATTTTGCTCAACAACTTGCTTTTCACCATTTCCAAAGTCACTTCAAACACTAGAGTTTTCTAAAGTCATTACTAATGGCCCAAATCGTGATGTCAAACCTCCCAATAGAACCGCAGCAAGAGAACTGTTGTCGGATCCAAATCTTGTGCGTTTGTCAAGACTGCATTAATGTACGACTCTATATCAGTAAAATCATATACATAAAGAGTACCTGTACAGCCGTCTCTCCAGTGCCAATTTTCTAACTAGACTCCGATCTTCATATGCCTTTTGCAAGGCATACCACGCCTCTTTTGCAGATGTTGCTGTCCTCACATGCGTCATTGCGGCACTGTCCACACAAAGAGAGATTTTTGATAATGTCTTCTTATCATTACATTTCCGCAAGTGCATAGGTGTATCATCACTGCATTCATAACCATCTACTGCATTCCACAGCTCTTCGTGTTCCAACAGCAACCTCATTTTGAATTTCCATGCCGTCGGGGCGTCGTGCCGTGTAATCTTAACGACTCATCAATATTTTAATACCATTAAAATTCATCCCAGCCATTATAAACGAGCTGTCTTCTTTTAAATTGATTTATTATTCGCTGATAACGTATATTGTAGAAAAGTGTAATTAAACTATTTATAACTGGAAAAATGTTTCAATGGTAAGATGGTAGACAGTGCAGTAACATATTATATAATCTTGTTTTATTGTTTTTATTACAGAATACAAAAATAAACTTTAAATACATTAATAATAAAAGAGTTTCTCAACAGATATCTGTTGAGAAACTCTTTTAATTATTTTAGTATTTATATATAATTATATATGCTATTGCACACTAGATGGCGTAAATTAAATGAAGAATAGATTTAAACGGCGAAGAATCTTTATCTATGACAAACATAATATGACAACCGAGCATGCGGTTCACCTGATGGTAAGAGATTACCGCTGCCTTTTTTTTTTTTTTAAAGGAATAAGCTCTTTTCTTGAAGGTTTCAATAACGTATCGGAAATACCATTGCTGGAAGGTGATTACAAAAGGTGATTGTTGTATTTTTTTTTTTTTATGACGCGAACTCCTTGTTTAGATTTGTTTGGGGTTAAGGTTATATATAGATTTTGAGAAATAGTGGTAAGTTACGGACGGCAGGAGCTTAAAAAAAAAAAATAGAGCAGTAATTGTGAACAATTACATTTATTACAAAGATTAAATAAATTTTACTTAATCAAACAAAAAAAATATACCATGAGTGTCTACTCTCTCTACAATGTTATTGTTACACTAGCAATAGTAGCCACTAGAAATGTATGTGGCTAAGAATCGCTATCTTAATTGAAGGTTAGATTAAGTTAAGGGTGCTGTTATATGTACCTGAATGGTCTAAGGTATGAAAATCATGATGGGAGTAGAGTATTTTGTAGTATTTCGCTATAAAATTTTAATATTGCTTCATATTATGACATAATATCAAAGTCCACATGTTTAAAAAAAAAAAAAAAAATGGTCTGAATTCACCGTTTCAGATTTTGCCAATCTGTCCCTGTATAATATAATAGTACTTAAAAAGCCATATTAACTCAGTTGCACTTTTCAAGTGCGATCACAGCAGATGATTATTCCAAATACAGGAATCACGGCATGCTCCTGGATGATTAACAACCCCACTAATAAGATCTTGATCAGCATTACAAATCTGTAAAAACAATATATTCATATTAAATTTTAGTAGGTTATATAAATATTTACCACACAAACTTTTCCTCATTAAAGTGCTAAATACATTATCCTACTTATACATAACAACGTAGAATATATAATGTCAGTTACATATTATACCTATACAACGGCATAGGGTGGAAAGCATGGATGCCATATAAATGCAATTCAATAAAGTACCAGTACAATTTCGGTGCACGGTAGCGCCATATACCATGGGGTAGTTGTAATACTACAATACCGTGTGTGTAAAGAAAGCAACGCAACGCAGTAGTAACAATACTGCCCACTAGATGGCGGGTAAGGCAATCTAAAACGCGATGCAATTTCGTTCTGAAGACACCTTAAGTTTACTAAAGTACAAACGGAACCTACGGTTTAGGTTTAGGTTTAGGTTTAGGTTTAGGTTTAGGTTTAGGTTTAGGTTTAGGTTTAGGTTTAGGTTTAGGTTTAGGTTTAGGTTTAGGTTTAGGTTTAGGTTTAGGTTTAGGTTTAGGTTTAGGTTTAGGTTTAGGTTTAGGTTTAGGTTTAGGTTTAGGTTTAGGTTTAGGTTTAGGTTTAGGTTTAGGTTTAGGTTTAGGTTTAGGTTTAGGTTTAGGTTTAGGTTTAGGTTTAGGTTTAGGTTTAGGTTTAGGTTTAGGTTTAGGTTTAGGTTTAGGTTTAGGTTTAGGTTTAGGTTTAGGTTTAGGTTTAGGTTTAGGTTTAGGTTTAGGTTTAGGTTTAGGTTTAGGTTTAGGTTTAGGTTTAGGTTTAGGTTTAGGTTTAGGTTTAGGTTTAGGTTTAGGTTTAGGTTTAGGTTTAGGTTTAGGTTTAGGTTTAGGTTTAGGTTTAGGTTTAGGTTTAGGTTTAGGTTTAGGTTTAGGTTTAGGTTTAGGTTTAGGTTTAGGTTTAGGTTTAGGTTTAGGTTTAGGTTTAGGTTTAGGTTTAGGTTTTTTAGGTTTAGGTTTAGGCTCTAGGTTTAGGTTTAGGTTTAGGCTCAGGTTTAGGTTTAGGTTTAGGTTTAGGTTTAGGTCTAGGTTTAGGTTTAGGTTTAGGTTTAGGTTTAGGTTTAGGTTTAGGTTTAGGTTTAGGTTTAGGTTTAGGTTTAGGTTTAGGTTTAGGTTTAGGTTTAGGTTTAGGTTTAGGTTTAGGTTTAGGTTTAGGTTTAGGTTTAGGTTTAGGTTTAGGTTTAGGTTTAGGTTTAGGTTTAGGTTTAGGTTTAGGTTTAGGTTTAGGTTTAGGTTTAGGTTTAGGTTTAGGTTTAGGTTTAGGTTTAGGTTTAGGTTTAGGTTTAGGTTTAGGTTTAGGTTTAGGTTTAGGTTTAGGTTTAGGTTTAGGTTTAGGTTTAGGTTTAGGTTTAGGTTTAGGTTTAGGTTTAGGTTTAGGTTTAGGTTTAGGTTTAGGTTTAGGTTTAGGTTTAGGTTTAGGTTTAGGTTTAGGTTTAGGTTTAGGTTTAGGTTTAGGTTTAGGTTTAGGTTTAGGTTTAGGTTTAGGTTTAGGCTTAGGTTTAGGTTTAGGTTTAGGTTTAGGTTTAGGTTTAGGTTTAGGTTTAGGTTTAGGTTTAGGTTTAGGTTTAGGTTTAGGTTTAGGTTTAGGTTTAGGTTTAGGTTTAGGTTTAGGTTTAGGTTTAGGTTTAGGTTTAGGTTTAGGTTTAGGTTTAGGTTTAGGTTTAGGATTAGGTTTAGGTTTAGGTTTAGGTTTAGGTTTAGGTTTAGGTATAGGGTTAGGTTTAGGTAAAGGATTAGGTGTAGGTTTAGGTTTAGGTTTAGGTTTTGGTTTAGGTTTAGGTTTAGGTTTAGGTTTAGGTTTTGGTTTAGGTTTAGGTTTAGGTTTAGGTTTAGGTTTAGGTTTAGGTTAGGTTAGGTTAGGTTAGGTTAGGTTAGGTTAGGTTAGGTTAGGGTAGGTTAGGTTAGGTTAGGCTCAGGCCTAGGCTCAGGCTCAGGTTAGGCCTAGGCTGGTTAGGCCCAGGCTCAGGTTAGGCCTAGGTTGTGCTGGCTAGGCTTAGTTAGGTTGGTTAGGCTCAGGTTAGGTTAGGTTAGGTTAGGTTAGGTTAGGTTAGGTTAGGTAGCAGGTTAGGTTAGGTTAGGTTAGGTTAGCTTAGGTTAGCCAGGTTAGGTTAGGTTAGGTTAGCGCGCGTTAGGTTAGGCCAGGTTAGCCAGGTTAGGTTAGCCGCGCGCGCCAGTTAGGTTAGCCAGGTTAGGCCAGGTTAGGTTAGCCAGGTTAGGTTAGCCAGGTTAGCCAGGTTAGCCAGGTTAGGTTAGGTTAGGTTAGGCCAGG